TAAAGCAAGCAGTAAAGGAATGGAAAAGTCTAAAGGGAGACTTTTGCTCGACTCAAGAAAGAGAGAGAGAGGAAAGAAAGTTGGATGTGAGACGTGAGAGGCAAGAAAAGGGGGTTGCAGTCAGTCGTGTGTGGTCGGGTTGGCTGGGCTTGGCAGAGACCCCGAGGGCCTGGACAGCTTCACAGTGTCCCTGGCTCCCAGCGCCTCAGCGGACATCAGATCAACTGGCCAAGCTTCGATCGCCCGACAAGCAGCAGCGAACTGTGGAAAATCCGCCAAGAGAAACTGACAGCGACAAGAAAAAAAAGAGGCAGGTCTACGCGGGACCGCCGGTTGGGGCCAAAAGTGGAAAATGTGCCGCCCCTTCCCTGACGAGACTCGCTGGTGCGAAACCAGGCGGTCCATGATACAACAAGTCCGCTCGGTAGGGGATCATCAGGGGGAGAAAAGGTACAGAGCGAGCGGCGCGAGAGGCTAAATCGGGCAGCTTGTCGACGTATGTGGGCGTGTTGCTGGTGGGCTGTTTGAGACGCCTGCTCAAGGTGTCGGCAGGACCCGCTGTGGCTTTTGGCGACAGCAAGGGTTCGAGTGCCCTGTGTGTGTTTCCATCGACTTTTCTAGCATGTCCAGGGTTGTACTCTACAGAGTTACACATAACCGCCGCCTAGACAGCGCCCGGGGGGATGGTGTTTGAGACTTGGCGCCAACCCACGGCGAACCTGGTGTTGCTCGACACGGCGTGTCGGCAAAGCGGCACTGGGGAGAAAAAAGACACGAGCAGCTGGAACCAAGCAGTTGCGCGATGAAACAGCCCCAACCCCTGCCAGCCGTCAGGGCTCAGGCAGCTGCATGCCAAGCGAAGTGCCGCGAGATGTTTCAGCACCCCAAATGGGCCTAGGGCGACGTCGCAGATAAGATAGGGGCCTTGTAGTGAACAACCCCTAACAGCGAGAGAAGCGAACGTCACTTGCGCCTCTCACCGTGCGGTGCTGCAGTGACTAACTACCGCCCACACAGATCAATTGGTTTGCTTTTTGTGCCTGTTTCAATGTTTCGACTGCTGCCAAGCACCGCCCACAGCTGGCCCGGCGAGACGCAGCGAAAAGGATAGCCCGAGACCTGCAGTCTTTTTTGGGACTCTTGGCCAGGCGAGAAAAAGGGCGAGGGACAAGTGATCGACGGATTTGTCGTGATGTTGCTTGAATCTTTATGCCTCAAACAGCGAAAAGAAGGGGGCCAAGAATGATGAACAGCGAGGATTTGGGTGGTAGGCCTCGCAAAGACACCCGGAGATCTCATTGGGGATCGTGCTTGGCATTCCGAGACGCGGGCAACTTCAGCCGTGGAGCCGCATTTGCTGGCGATCTGGGGAAGCCCGACTTTTCCTCAAACCCCCCTGCTGGCATGTCTTGGCATACGTTACGCAGATCTTACATGGAAACCTTGCACCGCTACTGACCCGCCGTCCGCAGCCTGCCGTCGAGAGCGAAGCGCTCCGCTAGGGGATGGTCACAACCTAGCCAAACTGCCCGCCGCAGGGATACCTCGACGGGGAGGAGACCCATTGGTCTGACCGTGAGCCAGCATCTTGAGACACGCTACACCGCAAGCCAGCCTCGAACTCTGAGAGAACCGGTCCCGCTACGGCTCAGCACACCTCGTCTCATCGTCTGGACAATGGCGCCGACGCGGCTCGCCCCCCGTAGATCCTCGATGCATGGGCTGTCGGGAATGGCCAAGTTCTATAAAGCCCTCAAACCTTCTCACATCGTCTGATTCTCGAATGTTTTCCCCATCCGCCCTTCCTTCTTTCCCAACCTGTTAGTCCGGTCAGCCTGGTGCCTTTCCTTACACCCTTCCATTCTCTTGTATACCTGTTTGATATTTGCTGCCGGCCAGCCAGCCCCTTTATAAAAGAGTCAAAATGCACGCCCCTACTTTTGCCCAGTTCCTCATCGGAACGCTGTTCGCCTCCTCGGCCGTCGCCTTCCAGGCTTCGACTTTGATCAAGGTGGTGAGTACACACTCTTCCGTATCCACATCTACAAGTCTAACAGTAACAGGGCTCGGCTCTCGCTCTTGCTCTCCCTGCCGCTGCCGCCCCGGCGGTGGTCGATGGTGTCCATGACATCGAGGCCAGGCATCACAAGGGCAAGAAGACGCGCGGCAAGCGCGAGGAGGAGGCCGACGCCGCCGAGCTTGTTGCCAGGCATCACAAGGGCAAGAAGACGCGCGGCAAGCGTGAGGAGGAGGCCGACGCCGAGCTTGTCGCCCGCCACCACAAGGGCAAGAAGACCCGTGGCAAGCGCGAGGAGGATGATGAGGTCGACGCTCCGGAACTCGTAGCCCGCCACCATAAGGGCAAGAAGACGCGCGGCAAGCGCGAGGAGGACGACGAAGTCGATGCCCCTGAGCTGGTCGCTCGTCACCACAAGGGCAAGAAGACCCGCGGCAAGCGTGAGGAGGACGACGAGGTCGATGCCCCTGAGCTCGTTGCCCGCCACCACAAGGGAAAGAAGACCCGTGGCAAGCGTGAGGAAGACGACGAGGTCGATGCTCCCGAGCTTGTGGCCCGTCATCACAAGGGCAAGAAGACCCGTGGCAAGCGTGAGGTCGACGACGAGGACGAGGTTGACGCCCCCGAGCTGGTCGCCCGCCATCACAAGGGAAAGAAGACCCGTGGCAAGCGCGAGGTTGATGACGACGAGGTCGATGCGCCCGAGCTCGTTGCCCGTCACCACAAGGGAAAGAAGACCCGCGGCAAGCGTGAGGAGGATGACGAGGTCGACGCTCCCGAACTCGTTGCTCGTCACCACAAGGGCAAGAAGACCCGTGGCAAGCGTGAGGAGGACCACGACGAGGTTGACGCCCCCGAGCTTGTTGCGCGCCACCACAAGGGAAAGAAGACCCGCGGCAAGCGTGAGGCCGATGAGGATGAGGTCGATGCTCCCGAGCTGGTCGCCCGGCACCACAAGGGCAAGAAGGTCCGGGGCTAAGCGCCTTCTTTTTCTTTTCCCCGACGCCTCCGATCAAGTAGGAACATAACAAACGGGTGCACAAGACTCTTTTTTCTCTGATTTGGGCTTTTTTTACTTTTTTGTCATTGCGTGTTTTTGTGTGGCAAAAGAAAAACCTCCCTCGCGCGCAGCGCATGTGTACTTTTTGCAGTACCTCATGACCGAAGCAGTGTGTTTGGAAAGACAACAGATGTATGCCTGGACTAGTTGGGAAATGGGAAAGGGATTTTTTTTTTTGTACATAGGGTAATACTTGGGCGGAAGGTAGGTAGAGACAAAAAAATATAAATAACAAAACCGACCACCACCTCCAAAGGAATGTTTGGACATGCAACGAATGTGAGAATTGGAGTGACTTGCTGGTGAGGTGAGGTGAGGTTGGCAGGCTTGCTTGGCATGAAGGAAGGGCAAGGCGAATAAAACCGGGTAGAGGCAACTCTTGGCGGCTCTTTGCCAAGATGATACCCTCAGGGTTTCAAGAGGCGAATAGGGAATTTTATGCTGAGGAGCCCCGAAGCATGGGGGAAAGAATAGCCCGGTGGTGTCGGGTATGGTGTGTGGTGTCAGTGTGTCTGGGGTACATACATATGTATCCAAGCAAGATCTGAGATCTGGGCCGCTGAGCCGCTCGGCTGCGATTTGTGTGCCATGTATGGATGGCATGAAACTCATACCTAACTACCTGAACCTCTCCCATGCCGTTTTTTCCGTACACGAGAGTAATGAATGAACGACAATGGGAGTGGTGGATAGTCGGCGGGTAGTTTTGCGACCGCCCGGTGGTTTATTTTCCTTGTTCGCCTCTCGGTTTTCTGACGGCATTGACGGGGGGTATTGGTGATTGTCATGAAGCAAGAGATGTGGAGAAAGGTGGGTATGGATGGATTAAGGAGGAAGAATGGCTGGCCATCCTCTGGCGCTCTAAATACATGAGTGTGGTCTGTGCTATCCGCAGAGTTGCACCTTCCGTGCCTTCAGATGTACTTGGCGGTGTTGATCGAGGTGTAATCGGCTTGAGGTATTAGCATCACGGACAGCCCCGATCTGACTGGGTAACAACCAGACATCAACTGTAATCAAATTAACATTGACAGGATCAAAAAGGTTGAATCCGTCCGTCCTCCGCGAGGAGGCTTTCGTGTGGCAGCAGGATCCGGTCGCCTCGCCCTCGAGCGGCCGCCGTGGTGAGTGCTGTTGAGTCGCGGTGTGATGGTGGCTGATGTTGGAAGCGGAATTCCGCCATGATATGTCAAGTATCGGTGGTACGAATAGTTATTCGCCAAGACAACTCGACATACCAATCCAGATGTTGGAGCTCCTCTTGAGGCGTTGCTGGGACTTGCCAACTTGTAGTTGGGACTTTCGGTTTGCCATTTTGGCGGATGGATGCGTTTTAGACAACCACATCTAGTACGTTCCCACCTCGGATATGGTAAACTAAAAGTTTAAGCTACAAGCTACCAACTCCCAACAACGCCTCGAGGGTACTGCGAACTCGCCGTGAACGCACTGCCGCTACGATATATCACATTTGAACCCGATATACCCGCAGTCGATAGTAGCGAGTTCAAGCTGAAAATGAGAGACGAGAGGTTGGTCATGGGCTGGCTCTTATACACCTGGAGTTCCCCGTACATGCAGCGGCTTTGCAAACAGGCCCAGACGATTTGCGCTACCTTCCAAAGTAATCCTGGGACTCGAAGGCCAGCGTTCACCTTGGAATTGAAATATAGGTTATCTATGCCGCCCTGGCGCAGCCGTAGCTCACATTGCACGCTCTGGCGGGCTATGGTGCGTTGGCGAGCTTCGAATGCGTCCACTGGTCATAGTGTAGTAGCCGATAGGAACATCTGCTACAAACACAACATTTTTATACGGAATGGAGGAGCCAAAAACAACATCCGAACCTGAGTTTGAACCTTGCTTGATCAAGCGAAGGAAGAGAGGAACGGGTATGGGTAGTAAGCAAAACGCAAAAAGAAACGTCACCTGTAGGATTCGAACCTACGCTCCCGAAGGAACTGCCTAACTTGCTTACCCTTTTCAGGATATAGCAGGGCAGCGCGTTAACCACTCCGCCAAAGTGACTTTGCTGATAGAGACGCCATTTATTCTAGTATATAAGCACTTCTCACACGGGGTCAAGATTGATGTAATCAGAAGAATGAACGGTTGGGCGACAGGGAAGTTAGACTGAGGGGCTGTTTACATAGATTTGGTGTTTATGGATCTGTTCTTCCGGTTTGAGTTGAAGTAATGAGGATTGGCAACGGAATACCAAAGGGAAAGCTGCAGGTGAGGATGCATCCCTCGAGGGGGAGGTTGTTGTCGGGGAGGCATGGCGCTCCTGTTTGGGTATGGTGTTGCGGCAGACTGAGATTACATATATCCAGGTTTTTTTTCTTTGAACAGTCGTAAAATACGGAACAAGAGTCGAGCGGCTTGAATGGGGTTCAACTAGGTAGGATGCTTTTCGAACTCCCCTCCTAAAGGGGCTTGCTTACTGGACAGCCCTCCTGAAGCAAACGGATTCGCACTACCTAACTCCTGTATCTACCTCCTTCTCACTTTCATAACTTGCCATCTACTAACTCAACATACTCTCTGCAACTGCTCTGCACCTGCCACAAAACTCCTCGTAGTGAGGTGAACAGCTCGGCAGCTAGGATGAGCACAGAGCTTCGAGGCGGATGGGGTCGCGATTTCTCTCTCATCCCTAACTCATCAACCCAACATTTTCAGAGCCATTAAAATGTTCATATATAGTTGTTTGAGGAACATTTGCGCAGAGACCCAAGGCAGTAACGGTACAAGCAGGGCAGGGTACTGGCTGGCTGTTCGCCAGGGATATTAGGAGGGCCGCTCTCCTTCCCCAGTTGGGTTTTGGGGTAGTCTATTAAGCAGTACAGGACCTTATATTTAACAGCTTCGTACTCGGAGCGTATGCGCACCGAGGTTAGATAGAAGGCACTCATGTGCTATAACTACCTACATAGAAGAGGGACCGCCTACCCCTTAGGGGTGGAGGCCTTCGGCTTCCTACGGTTTAAGACAAATAATAATATTTAACAGCTTCAGGGGGTAATCTTATAAAGCTGTACGATGCTCTTTTCGGTACTGCTGCTGTCTTGGAATCTCGTGTTAGGCTTGAGTCGGGTAAGGTATCTACCAACTACCTACCTGTAGGTACGAATGTTGAGTCAGGCATTGCCCGTATACTGTTATAATCCAACATGGCCATAAATCTGATATATCTAGATTCCCGAGAAGCCGCTATTGTAAGGATCATTTGTTGCGAAGGAAACGGCAGGCCGAAGGCAAGGCTGAATAGGTAGGTACCCACAGTCCTAGGATATTCTCATGCCAGAGTAAATGGATGCGGACGGTCGGCTAACTATGACAGAACCTTAACATTCGCATGATGATATTCAACGAAATGACATAACGAGTTGAACGGGTTGTGACGTTCATATTCTAGATCGGGTGGTGTTAGAGCGGGTGTTCTGCTGAGGTACAGATAACCTCGACGTGTCAATGTAGGTATTTAACGGTGCTTCTATACAACTGGAGTGCGTGGAGGATCCCCACATCGTCACGAGAAGCATTCTTTCTGGATCTTCTACCCTCCACGGAGTTGCTCACTGTTGCCGCAATCCCCCGATTCGTACCTTTCTAGCTCGCAGCTGAGTAGCATGTGCCTTTGTCTGTCCGACCCAATGTGGCTTCTTGGCGCTAGGAACCTTGCAGCATCATCAAGCAGCTTATGGTCCAAGGCGCCTTTGGGAACTAGGCTCTTATTTGGCGTGTTAAGGGAAATGGTGTGCAGAGCCTCGAGGTACTACCGGTACTTGGAAGGACAGGCGATACGGTGTCGGCTACGTACTTATATTAGGAAGGCTCCCCCTCGCTCCGAAATAGACCTTAGTCTAGTCAATCAAGCAGTTTGAGACCTGTCTGACATGGCGAACAGCTCGAGGTATGTATATTCCTACTCCAGCTCGTGGCACCCTCTCGGAAAATGGGAGGAGCAAGGACGAGGACAGACTGTATTTGGCTAGGGCCACAGGCAATCCAGTTCGATACTTGACATCCATCCTTATCCGCCCTTCTTCTACCAAAAGCTGACGACCAGCCCCACCTTGGAGTGAAATACCCAACCGTTCTCGAGGATTGGGACCGGTAAGGCTTCTGCGTACTCCAGCATGGGGTGCCGCATCGAGGCACGCGAGCGATGCAAGAAGGTAAGCCCTGCTAGCATGCCGGATGGTCTATCCGACCATGTGATCGTCTCGTATCGGGCTATACGCAGGACACGTGGAGAGCAACCCGACCATCCGCGGTCCTCAAAAGTTTTACATGCAGCAAAGTGCAGCTCGCTGGGCACACAAGCCGGTTTCCATTTCTCGAAAACGCCCCGAGAGACTACTTTGTGCCTACCGGGTGGAACGAAGCTCCGAATGATGGGACAGCTCCGAGACGGCGCATGGTGACCTGTTTTTAGCACTCTACTAGTCGATGACGCACCTAGAGCTGGGACGAGACTCTGGTCTGTTGAGGTCGGGTCCGGCATCGGGAGGTAATATTGAAGAGTCACTCTCATAGGTACAAACGTGTGGTCTGATCTGTCGTTGATATCTTTCTGGCTACAGCGATGGGATCAATCCCAACGATTTTCCGTACACCACGGCTCGGAAACACGGCACTCCCCGGGCTTGAGATGAAGAATGTGGGCATGCTGGATATGTGTGGATCCTGGGCTTTAACAGAGGCGACACTGCCGGAAGCCCCGACGAACCGTCGCCTAGAGCACTCAGATACAGAGCAACTGACCTGTTACATTGGACGATAGTGGCTGCAGCTGGCCCGGAGGTTGTCTTCCCTCGTGTTGGATTTGGGTTAGGTATTCAGCCAAACAAGATATCCGGAATCAACAGCTGGACTTAACGCGGTGTATTGCCTCTGGTCCAAAGATATCGGCCCTCGATTGTTCGCGAACCAACATCAGACAAACAACAGTCCTATCACTGAGTCACGTCCGAAGGCGTGTGTGTTTGTTCAAGGCACCTGAGACGAAGTACTGGCGAGAGCGGAATTCATCTCGTCTTGCCACCTTGGATGTTGCAATTCCCGGACACCAAAGTTTGGTAGCGGCTATATGCGATGCTGCGGGATCTATCCGGACCCGCTCGCGGAGTCTGGAACACTGCCGGCTGTATCCAGTGATTCTGGTACATGAGGCCAATGATGGCGAAGAAGCGTGTTCCCGCTCCATTCATTGGCCCAAATTAGTGTGAGGCAGAAGTCGAGATGCATGGAGCGGTGTGGTTGCCGGCACAGCGTACATTACAGAACGCACATCACAGAACGGCCCTGCCTCGTGACTGTGGGGTTCGGTTGCGGGAAGCGTCGACCCGCCGGCCCCCACCGGAGGGGACCACGGCAGAGCCAACCACGGCCCGAAGTCTGCGGAAGAAACAAAACACGGGGCGCTTGGTCCAGACACTCCAGCTTGTCCCGAGTAAAAGCTACACCTAACAGGTAGTTCATTCGCATCACAGGCCTCGCCCACACAATGACAGACGCACGTGTCACCGAAACCAAGAGAAGCCATGTTGCGATAATAGAGCTTGTGCAACGCGAGCCCAGCGTCGGGAGCCCTGCGGCGCTGACCCGCATGCGCTTCGGTGGGGGGCTGCTAGATGTACGGCTGGAGTGGCGCGGCGGTCGTCGCGGATTTCAATCACACAACCCACGCGGCTGGACAAGGAAACGGGCTGCCACCAAAGGCGGGCGCCCCTGAATCTCTGCTGTAGCCCTGCTGCCCGATTCGGAAGCCTGCTTTCGTCGTCCCTCCGTTCAATCTCATTTTGGGAGCCCGGGGCAAACAATGATCTCATCTGATAGAAAAAGTGGCCTCGGTAGGGAGGCGCTTGCTGATGACACGGCGGTAGCCATCCACGGTCGTGTGGAAAGAGGGCAACGAAGAGTCGAGTCAAGGTAGGTCCAACGGGACAGCTTCGCTGCAACGGGATATTTTCCAGGCTGGGCTGGGCTGGGGCCTGCCTGCTGCAGTCTGCAGTTTGCCTTTCCGCGGTACGGCTCAGCACGCTAAACACCGCACAGACCGTGGTATCCACCCGAGCCCCACCGGACAGGGGACTCCACCCTTGTGCGCCACCATTTCATCCCGGTCGCTGCGGGTCGTCGCTGCGGGTGAGCTCTGACATGGGTTGAGGGCAGTTCTGGCGGCTGGTGCCATTTATGATACCTGCCGAAGGGGCTCACAGGTCTCCTCTCGTTCCCGCTTCCTTCTTCCCTCTTCCACGCAACACATCCATCGGCCGAACGCTGGATCATCATCACAACACAACACCGCCCGGTCTATTCCTGACCACTGCGAATCCCCCGTCTGCCTGCGCATGCAGTCGCCGGATGCCTAACGGCGCCCGTGAATTAAACTTGGCTTTTTCGCGCCGCGCCTGTCGCAATCAGCAGAATCCGTGACGCCCATTCCACTCGAAATTTTTGCACCGCTCTTCTTAAACTCCCCGACAGCCCACTCCATCATCATCGCCGACCTCGGTCTGTCTTAACCCGAGCTACTCCCTCAAACAATTGCCCGTGATGTCCATGTATCCAGGCCATCGCGGAATGGGGGGTGCCCCGCCCGCGAATCCAGCAGCCCGGTTCAACGAGCTGCTCGACCAGCTACGCAACGAGTTCGAGCAGCAGATGCGCCAGAACCAGGACTATGATCATCAGAGTAAGATCTCTCTCGGGCTGAGAACAATGAGGAGTAACTGACGCGCTGTTTCCAGTCCGCGACCATATTTCGGAGATGCAGGCCATAAGAGACCGCGTCTTCAGCATGGAGCAGACCCAAGGGATGCTGAAGCAAAAGTTGGTTGCGATATGTCTGGGAGTGCAGAGAGATGGCTGACTGGAAAGTGACAGATACGAGGAAGAAATCGCCATGCTGCGCCGACAGCTCGATGCCCGCGGCGGCCCGCCGGGTGGTATGAACCCGCCTCCCCAGCACGCTGGCCCCTCGCAGCAGCCGCCCTCTCTTAGCATGGGGAGCGGCGTCT